TTCGCCGCGACGTCCGCGCTGCGATAGTTGCGGTAAACCGCGTTCTTCGCCGCTTCTCCATTGACGGTGATCGCGAGACCATTCGCCTCCTTCGCCAGCGCCCGCGAGGCCAGAACCAGCCACGCGTTTTCCTGCGTCGAGGTGTAGGGCGTCAGACCGCGTGCGGCCTCGACGCGCTCGACCGCAAGACTGATCGTCGCCTTCGGCGCGTTGCCTTCGCTGGACAGCGAGACCAACGCCGCTGCATCGCGCAGTGATGAGCCGTAGTCGCTGCGGCCGAATTCAAGCGCAGGCTTCGGCGCGAGGCTGTTCACCGCCGCCGCATAGACGCGCTCAGCGCGGCCACGATCACCGACCAGCGCCAGCGCCGCCGCCAACTGTGCCTTGGCAATGGGCGTGGCGATGTTGTTCAGCTTGGTGTCGGCGAGATAGCGCAGGTCGCCGATCGGCGCGGTGCCGTTCTTTGCCAGCACGTAGAGGCCATAGGCGAGATCGCGGCCGCCGTCCTTCTCCGGCTCCTCGGCATTGACCACCGAGTTGCGGATGCGGTCCAGCGCCGTCTTGAACAGCACGTCCGGTACGGCAAAGCCCTTCTCGCGTGCCCGCGTCAGGAAGTCGGTGACATAGGCGTCGAGCCAGGCATCGTCGCCGCCCGCCGACCACAGGCCGAACGAACCGTTGGAGCCTTGCCGCGCGAGCAATCGATCGATCGCATCCTTGATGCGCTGATCGACGCCGGTATCCAGCGCAAGATGGTTCTCCGCCGCCAGATCGTTGACATAAAGCAGCGGCATCGCGCGGCTGGTGATCTGCTCGGAGCATCCGAACGGATAACGGTCCAGCGCTTTCAGGATCGTGGCGGCATCGAGCGCGGTAGACAGGCCGACCGACAGTTGCACCCCGCCGGTGCCCTGCACGAGATCGGAGAACATGTCCGACGTTAGTGTCAGGCTCTCGCCCTTCGCCAGCGTGCGAACCGAGCGGCGCGCGAGAATCTGTGTCGCCGGTTTGACGTTGAGGTCGTAGTGCCGCGCGAGCGTCAGCCCGTTCGGCCCCTTGATGTCGACATCGAGCGCGGCAGCCCCTGCTCCGCCCGCCGCGTCGATGGCGAGCGCAACGGTGCTGCGCTGCTTGGCAGCCAGCCGCATGGTGGTCGCCGGGTTGCCGGTGAGTTTCACCGGACCCGACGGCTTGACGGTGATGATGTAATCGCCCGCAGCGCCTTCGACGTTGTCGAGATCGAGGTTCATGGTGCCGCGATCGCCGCTGAGCAGGAAGCGCGGCAACGTCGCCGTCAGCACCACAGGATCGCGCACTGTGACATCGGTGTTGGCGCGGCCCACTTTCGTGGCGGTCCAGGCCACGGCCATGACGCGCGCGGTGCCCGCAAACTCCGGAATGTCGAAGGAGATGTTTGCCGTACCATCGGCGCCGACTGTGACGATGCCGGAATAAAGCGCGAGCGGCTTCTGTGTCGGAGGGCTGCCCTGCAACTCGGCAGCAGCGCCGTCACCGCCGGTGCGGATCTGCCCGCGGGTGCCCTGCATGCCGTCGATCAGTTGCCCGTAGAGGTCGCGGATTTCGGACGTCATGCGGCGCTGGCCGAGATAATAGTCATCCGGCGCAGGCGGCTTGTAGTTGGTCAGGTTGAGAATACCGACATCGACGGCGGCGACCACGATCTTGGCGTCCTCGCCACGGCTCAGACCTTCGATCTTCACCGGCAGCTTGAGCGCCGTGCCCGGACGCACCAGTGCGGGCGGCGTGAGCGAGACCTTGAGCGTGCGCTCGGCCTTGTCGATGCCGAACCACTTCAGGCCGATGGCGCGGCCCGGCATGCGCTGGGCAGCGGCATCCAGCGGACGGCGCAGCGTGGCGACCACATAGGCACCCGTGCCCCAGTCCTTGCCGACTACAACGTTGATCTTGTTCTGGCCTTCCTTGATGTCAGCGGACTGGGTGGTCAGCAGACGGTCGCCCAGCACATTGATGGTGAGCTTGCCCGCCGTGCGCGCATTCACGGACACGACCATGGTGTCGCCGGACCTGTATTCCGGTTTGTCGATGGAGGTTTCCAGCAGATCCGGTGTGTCGGCGCTGCCGTCGGAATACCAGCCGACGTCGAACTTGACCGAGGTGATCGGGCCATCGTTGTCGCCGGTCTTCACGTCGAGGCGATAGCGCCCGGGCTGCGGCGAGACCTGGATACGCGCCGGCTTGTCCGCCGTCAGGGCGATGGCGCCGTCCGCCACGCGCTTGGTGGATTTCACCGGCTCGTAATCCCAGGACGAGCCCTGCCGGTACCATTGATAACGCGATTCAAGCTTGAGCAGTTCGTAGCGCAGGTCGCTGCGGGCAAGCGCCTTGCCATCGGGAGCAGCGAAGACAACATCGAAGTTGGCAGGATCGCCTTCCGCGACATTCTTGTCCGAGAACAGCGGCTTTACGCCGATCATGGCGTCATTGGGGGCGACCGGAATCGTCAGCTTGCGCTCGACGGCGCGGCCGCCGGTCTCCACCATGCGGACGAAAATCTGCGCTTCCTGCGGACGCGTCGAGGTCGGCGGTTTCGGCAGACTGACCTTGAAGGTCGCCTTGCCGTTGGCATCTGCCTCCGGCAGGTTTTCCAGCGGCGTGCGCTCGTTGCTCGCCGTTTCCTCGTCGGCGACGCCGAACTTGTATCCGGCAAAACCCGGACGATCCGTGGCGGTCGCGACCAGCATGTCGCCTTCGAGAGCGAGGCCGGACGCGGGCGCGCCGTAAAGGAAACGGCCATCGACCTCAAGTTCTGCTGGAAGTTCAGCCGTGATCTGCTTCGCCTTGGAAGTTAGAGTGAATTCGATCCGGTCAGCGACGTAATCCTCGACCATGAAGGTGGTTTCGCCCACCGACGGCGCCTTCGGATCGGTGAAGGCGCGGACCCGCCAGGTGCCGGTCGGCACCGCCGAATTCAGCGGCAGCGTCAGGCTTCGCCCGCCCGCGCCCTGATCGGGCACAACCGTGCGGCGGAATTCGACGCCATCGGGCCGCTCGACCACCAGAGTCATCGGCGTGCCGGTGACGCCGTTGCCCTTGCCGTCGCGCAGCAGCGCGGTGACGTAGACGGTCTCGCCGGAGCGATAGACGCCGCGCTCGGTGTAGACGAACGCATCGGGACCCGCCGGCACTGTGCGGCCCGAAACACCGCGATCGGTCAGATCGAACGCATTCGATTTCAGACTGAGGAAGGCGTAGTCGCCCTTGTCGCCCGAGACCGACAACAATGCCGGAGAAAGCCCGCCCTCGCCGCGCGCCAGCCCCGCTTCGAACAGCACGTGACCCGCGCTGTCGGTCTTGCGTGTCGCGAGCACTTCGTTGCTGCGCGACACCAAACGAACCTCGGCATTCGCCGTCGGCTCGGTCGAGGCGAGCGAATTGAGGAACACATGGACGCCGTCATTGCCCGAGTACGCGGTCAGGCCCAGATCCGAGACGATGAACCACTGCGTCGCCAGCGAACTTGAATCGTCGTCGCCGCCGGAGCCTGGCCCCTTGGCGGCGGCCGTCATCACATAGACGCCCGGCTGCATGTCGCCGACAGCCTGATCGACCGGGAATGCGGTGACCACGTCGGCGTTGAGTGTGGCGGCAGTCGCGACCTCTCCGGTCCAGACCTTGACGCCCTTCTCGTTGCCGAGGTCGGACAGTTCATAGCTCGACAGGCTGCGCTGGAAGTCGCTGCCCAGCACCGAGTTGATCAGGTTGCGGTCGCCGATACGGAAAATGTTCACCGACACCGACGGTGTGTTGACACTGACCAGAGGAATGCCCTTCTGGCCGGTACGCGGCAGCACATAGGCGCGGCCGGTGAAGCGCACGAACGGCTTGCGGTCGCGCACATAGATGTTGAACTCCGCCGATTTCGGCAGGGTCTCTTTCACCGTCGACGGCAGGCCGGCACGGAGGTTAATGGTGTAGCGTTCGCCATGCTTGAGGCCCTCGACGCAGAGCTGCTTCTCTTCCGAGGTCAGCGCCGGGCTGTCGGAGCCCGCGAGCGCGACGAACGGATTGAAGTCGGCCCGCTTGGCGAGGTCTTCCGAGAACTGGAAGCAGGCGCGCGGCGAGGCCGAGTCCGAATCCACGCTGTAATCCAGCAGCCGGAAGCCCTTTTCATCGCGCAGCTTCTCATACTGGCCGCGAACGTCGGCGACTTCCTTCTGGTCCAGCGACAGGCGCAGCGCATCGAGCGCCGGACGCCAGAGCTTGCGCTCCGCCAGCGCGCTGCCGAGCACCGCCAGCGCATCGGCCTCCTCGCCTGCATTCGCTGCGCGCTGATAGGCGATGTAGGCCGCCGTTGACGCACGCTCGTGGAAGAAGGTCCGCTCGCGGTTATCCGACGGGCGGATCTGGAACACGGTCTTCGCCAGCCTCAGCCAGTTGCCGCTGTCCTCCGGGGCCACGGCGGCCGTCTGTCCCAGCAGAACCAGCGCGCCGCGCAGATCGCTGCGCTTGAAGGCGGCATCGGTATCCGACTTCAGCGTCGCGGCGGTCTTGTTGATGATCCCGGCCTCGGTCTTGATCTGGGCCTCGAGCCGGATCGCCGAGTCCGCCAGGTCATCCCGCTTGAACGCCTTGTCGGCAGCATGGGCTGAAACCAGACCAAGCGCGAGCGTGGCGCAAACCGAGATGGCGCGAACCAGACCAATCATGATGAAAACTCCTTGCGGGCGACGCTGAGCGAGGTCGCTTGAAATATAGACAATGCGCGAATCGTGACAGACTCATGGTCTTACCGATATCGGGCCAAAAGATTCCGCGCGACCGCCGCACATGTGCGGCACAAGGCAGCGCTCCCAGCCATTGACCCGGCTAAAACACGACTGTAGGTCGGGAGACCCCAAAGGCAATGCAGGCCCTCGGGTATGCCCCACCGGTTTGTCGGCTGAGCCCTCGGACAGGTTCAGAAATTTCACGGCCGGGTGGCGGTTTTTTCACGATCGCGGTGGTATGAAGGCCCCAACGGTCCCATAGCTCAACTGGATAGAGTAACGGATTTCTACTCCGTGGGTTGCAGGTTCGAATCCTGCTGGGATCGCCAACTCGTGCCAGATCCATCCGGAGAATGTCGAGCTCAGCTCAGCGCCGCCGCCCGATTGCAATGCCGAGCACGAAGGCCGCGAGCAGCGACCCGAGCGGGGCTTCGCGCGCAATATTGCTCAGGATGCTGAGTGGCATGCCGGGCTTCTTGGCGCTCTCCACAAGATCACTGAGAGATTTTACTGCGGCCGACAGCTTGCCGATGCCGAAGCGATCCTCGTCTTCGACGGGGTCCAGCCCTTCGTAGATGAATGGCTGCGGGGGAATTTGGTCTGTCATGGCCGGGCTCCTGGATGCGCCATTGTTTAAGAGATCAATGGGGAATCCGTTCCCGGCGATTGCGGGAAGTGCCGTGCAGGCGCAGACTGTTGAACCAGCGGTTGTGGTCTGCCGGAAGCATCCAAGACTAAAGGATGACGGGGATTCGGAGCGAAACGCCCTATGTAATGCTGCAACGCATCATAAGGAATTTGCCCGATGACGGACGCCGCGAAAATCCCGCCGAGTGCAAAGCCGCAGCCTCCCCGGCCACAACCCGCACCCGCTTCGCGCGAGGATGGCCTGGAAAGTCCGCGAAGCGTTCATTGCTAAAAACCCGCCGGGATGAACCGGCGGGCCTTTATGCATTCAGGCAGTCGTCGTTCAGACCGCGTCTTTTGCAGCCTTGACCGGGCGGGCCCGGACGATCTTGCGTGCCGGCTTGGCCTT